CTGCTCCTTCTCCTGCTCCTTCTCACTGCTCCTCCTCCTGCTCCTTCTCACTGCTCCTCACTGCCCCTCCTCCTGCTGCTCACTGCTACTTCTCACTGCTCCTCCTCCTGCTCCTCCATCTCACTTGCTCTGACTTTCCTCTCTATCCTGTTTTCCTTTATTGAAGAAAATCAACACAATCAAAAACTAAACTGACAGAAATGAAAACAAAGTGGATTCATCAAGTTTTCTTTTTCATTTCATCATTGTGTTTAACTTTTATTTTTCATTTCATCATTGTGATTAACTTTTATTTTTCATTTCATCATCGTGTTTAAGTTTTATTTTTCATTTCATCATCGTTTTAAGTTTTATTTTTCATTTCATCATCGTGTTTAAGTTTTATTTTTCATTTCATCATCGTGTTTAAGTTTTATTTTTCATTTCATCATCGTTTTAAGTTTTATTTTTCATTTCATCATCGTTTTAAGTTTTATTTTTCATTTCATCATCGTTTTAAGTTTTATTTTTCATTTCATCATCGTGTTTGATGCAGCCCAACGTATTGAGAAACGGCCCCTCAGAGGTCGCCCTCCCATCATGACCCCTCCTGTTGCTCAGCTGTCCGCTCGGTTAGCGGTTAGCGGTTAGCGCCCTAACTACCAATTCTCTGCTGTGAGATCAATAAAGTCAATTAATCAACCAATGAGGACACTGAGCTCATGTCTCGGTATTTTTTCATTTATGTTATGTAGGTTTCCCACAGAACTGCAAGATTAAGGTGAATATCTAATAAAAATAGCTGGGGGGGGTTTGGCCACTGTTGCCATGGTAACGCTGTAGTGAGTCGGTCAGTAACGGTGTTCTGTCAGAACATCATACGCTGCACAGAACGACTGTTGATGAAGCAAAACAGAACAGAAGGAGCACGACAGGAAGTCGCACGCAGAAACAAAATAAAAGATCCGCTTCCTTTTCAAAATAAAAACTTTTCTGTGGCCCTAACGTCAAAAGTCTCCATAACCAAAAACCCGCAGAATAAGTCTTTTTTTATTTACAACTGTTCTCTTTCTGTTGCTGTTGTTCAATAAAAGTTGTTTTAAGATCATTTGAATAAAATGCTTTAAAGCGTCAGGAACATTTACCGATTTAATGCAGAATTAAATCTGAAATTAATTCCGAAGTTGAGAGGACCGCGGCAACTAGAGGAGCTCCAAAGCTAACGGCAGCCAGAGCTAATGTTAGCCCGTCTGCAGCAGCCAGGGCTAGCGTTAGCCCGTCTGCAGCGGCCAGAGCTAAGGTTAGCCCGTCTGCAGCGGCCCTCTCTCTGCATAGCCGTGTGTGAAGAACCGCTGGCTCCGATGGAGGTTTTATTGTTTTATTTTGCAAAATGTTCATTTTATTTGTGTTTATCTGACTGTGTTCGTTATTATTCCCCCACTAAATGAAAAAAGTCAGAGCGTGTGGTGATGTCATCAGTACGCTCGCGTTCTCGCTGAGTCCAGACTTTCCTGTGTTCTTGCCAAGACCGGACTTGACGAGAACGCGAGTCCGGACTCGTGTTCTTGTGAATTGAGAAACGGCGCAGGTCCTTCTCTCTGCAGCGCAATGCTGACCTCATGTTGCACCACAAGGGGCGCTGTTTTCCTGCTGATGTGCAGAAGAGGTTTTCCATGCAGTTCACATGTGATCTGCTCAGATTGTGCAGCAGGAGCGCATCATTTCAGACAGAGTCACGAACAAACCGGAGAAAAGCTTGGAGGACATGAAGTGGATTGATCTGGTGTCAGAAGGAGCTCAGCAGAAGGAGGCTCCTCTGAAAATGGATCATTTCCTAAAGCAGCTCAGATCTTCCTAACTTCCTCCATCATCTGTCTTCCTATGTCTGTTCTGTTGGTTTCAGGTTGACTGTGAGAAGAGACTGATCCACCTTCCAGATGTTTAACTTCCTTTAGATGTTACCATCAGATCCACTTAGTGTCAATAAAAACCCAAAGAAATAAATATGTTTGTTAATGTTAATAAAGAATGAATGAATTCTAAGCTGGAGTATTAGAACAGGAAGGACTGGGAAGCATTTATCCAGAAAACATAAACAATAGACCGATCCGTAAAGGTTTAAGGCTGAGATGAATGATGACAGCCCCCCAAAATAAACTGCAGGAAGAGAAACCTGAATGATGCAGAATAAAGACATAAAAAGTGTTCAGCAGCTAAAATGAATCAAACTTAAACCAAGAACAGTCAGACTGAGACTAGAAGGTGAAACTGACTGAAACAGTCAGTGAAAAAAGGTCAAACTGGGAGTGAAGTCCGGATCACGATTTCTTTAGGATGTTTCCATCAGTGTGGGACATGATGGGCTCAGCAGGTTCAAGGATGGAGGAAGAGGTTGAATGCCTGTAAAAGGCCTCCTGTGGTTTGAACTGTCAGATGCTGCAGCTACTGCCTGAAGTCTAATGGCCATGGAGGCATGAGCCCTCATCCTCCCTCTGAACCGTCCAGCCTGACAGCCTCTGGTCAGCACCGCCTGGTAGACTAACATCCAGCCTGATGTGCTCAGCAGCACGCCATCAGCAGCAGAGAATAGACCATAGAAGAAGAAGGGAGCTGCGTTTATCAATCAGTTTTAGTTAAAGAACGAGGAGCTGAGGAGGAGATCCAGTCAGGATGTTCTCACCTTCCTCCTTCCCTCCTCTTCCTCACAGAGATTAGCTGTGGGAGCCCCCCCCCCCCCCCGTTCGTCTACCTGTTCACCTCCTTCCAGCAC